GGAGGGTCCGGGGGGATTTGGTGCCCATCCCGTGGCATTTGCTGGGGTAAGTGAAGCACTGGGAGGTGCTGGGGATGGAGGGATGGGATTTATGCCAAGCACGGTGTGGAAGGACGAGTGGATCCTTTGGGATTGACTGTAGGCATGGCCCAACCTGGTATCCCCTCTTCCAGCTCTTTAGCAAATCCTGTTTCCCCCAAATACTTCCCTTCCCACCCCAATCCCAGCGCTGCAGCTCTCCTGGGCTCAGGTGGGCACGAGGCTTCGCTCCCAGGCCTGGAAAACAGCAGGAACTTGATTTCCAAAGGGATTTGTGGGTGCTGGGGCGCTGAGGGACCAAACTGTCCCTCCCAACGCTGGGATTCCCATCCCTGGCCTCTCCCATGGCCTCCAAAAGGGACCTGGAAAATCCTGGCCTGGACATTTTTGACCATTCCTCCTCCCTGCAGAAACAGGGGCTGGTGGGATTTTGGGAATGCAGCCGGCGTGGCCCAGCGGTCACCGACCCCTGGGGGCATCGGCCACCTTCGGCCCGGGCCGTGTTTGTGTTCAGGACTTGGCTGGGCCCCAGGAGGGGAAGCTGTGAGAGAAAATGCTGGAAAAGCATTCCCTGTGAGGATACATCCCAGTCCCTGTGAGGATACATCCCGTTCCCTGTGGGCATACATCCCATTCCCTATTAGGATGCATCCCAGTCCCTGTGAGGATACATCCCGTTCCCTGTGGGCATACATCCCATTCCCTATTAGGATGCATCCCATTCCCTGTGGGGATACACCCCATTCCCTGTGGGGATACATCCCGTTCCCTGTGGGGATACATCCCATTCCCTGTGGGGATACATCCCATTCCCTATGAGGTTACATCCCGCAGGGAAAAGCACGGTGCTTTTCCACAGGGACTCACTCCTGGGGGTGCAGGTGGGAGGTTTCCAGGAAGGAAACCCACGGAGCTCCAGGGAAGCTCCCACGGGGGATGTGACCCCCCGGCCCCCAGGGTTTGGGGGTTCCTGAAGCTCCTGTGCCCCCCCCCCCCCCCCCCCCCCCGCCCCCCTGCCCCCCCGGCCGTCCTTCCCAGCTGGATCTGAGCCCGGCTAAATTTAGGAGGATCGATGTCATCCCCCACCTCTGCCCCGCGGGGGAAAGGACGGAGCAAAGGTGGCTCGAGAGGGGAGCACGGTGCTGCATGGGGGGCTCTGCTCCCCACCCCCGGCACAGGCATCCAGAACCCCGGATTTTATCTGGATCTGAGGCCATGGAAGAGCCCAGGGAGGCTGGAATTTTCCCGGGTCATCCCACGGAGCTCTCCAGCTGTCGCTTGGGGCAGAGCTGGTGACAAGGACACCCATGTGTCCCGCAGGGAAGGAGCTCTGGGTGCAGGGAGCTGGATGGTTTCCTGAGGAGGCTGATGCAGGTGAGGGGGCAGCGGGAAAGTGGGAATGAGGGTCCAACGAGCAGGACACGGTGCTGGCACCCAGGGGTGCTCCAATCACATGTGTGGTGTCCCCACACCGAGGGAGGATTAGAGTGCCCAGCACCCACACCCTGGGAAAACACCTCAAGCTGCATCTCGGGAGGTTTAGGTTGGATATCAGGGAAAATTTCCTCATGGAAAGGGTGGTCATGCCCTGGGGTGGGATGCACAGGGCAGCAGTGGAGTCCCAGCCCTGGAAGCGTTCAAAGCTGGGCAGATGTGGCACCTGGGGACAAGTTGGTGGCCGTGGAAGTGCTGGGTTGGACTCGGTGGCAGCTGCAGGGCCCTCTCTGATCCCACCTCTGCTCCACTTCCAGGGGAGCTGCCGGATGACACCGGGAGCTGCCGGCGGGTGAGGGACCCCCCGGTCTCCGCATGGATGGGAATGGGGAGACCTGCCGGCAGTAGGAGCCCAGGACAGCTGGAAAACCCCGGCCTCTTCCTCCGCACGCTCCTCCTCCTCCTCCTCTGCAGGCATGGTAAGGATCCACACGGGCAGGTTCATCCCAGGGACTGGGGAACTCTGCATCCCAGGGGACCCAAATTCATCCCAGGGACAGAACCCTGCATCCCAGGGGACCCAAATTCATCCCAGGGACAGAACCCTGCATCCCAGGGGACCCAAATTCACGCCAAGGACTGAGCTCTGCACCCTGGGAGATCCAAATTCATCCCAGGGACCAAGCCCTGCACTAGGAGACAATTCCTTCCAGGAAGGGTCTCCATGGGAGTCTGAAGTGGGCTAGAACAGGGAGACAAGAAGGGTTTCCATGGGAATCTGGAGTGGGTTAGAACAGGGTGACAAGACCTTCCAGGAGGGGTCTCTATGGGAATCTGGAATGGGTTAGAACAGGGAGACAAGAAGGGTTTCCATGGGAATTTGGAGTGGGTTAGAACAGGGTGACAAGACCTCCCAGGAAGGGTCTCCCTGTGAATCTGGAGCAGTCTGGACGGTGGGAGACGGTGGGAGGAGCGGGGGCCGCCCTTGCCCAACCCCATCCCTTCTCCCCCAGTCTCTTCCCAGTGCAAGATCCTGCGCTGCAACTCGGAGTACGTGGCGGCGACGCTGCCCCTGCGCGGCCCCGGCCGGGGCGCCGCGTTCTGCACCGCGCTGCGCTCCTACTCCCGCTGCACCCGCCGCACCGCCCGCACGTGCCGCGGCGACCTGGCCTTCCACTCGGCCGTGCACGGCATCGAGGACCTCATGATCCAGAACAACTGCTCCAAGGAAGGGCCCACGGCGCCGCCCCGGCCCCGGCCGCCCGCCCCCGGGCGCCAGGGCTTCGAGTCGCTCGACGTCTGCGACTACGAGCGCAGCTTCCTCTACAAGCACGGCCGCCCGCCCGCCTTCCAGCACTGCGCCGCCTTCGGGGACCCCCACATCCGCACCTTCCACCACGACTTCCACACGTGCCGGGTGGAGGGCTCCTGGCCGCTGCTGGACAACGACTACCTGTTTGTGCAGGCCACCAGCTCGCCGGTGGCCAAGGGGTCCAACGCGACGGTCACCAGCAAGGTAACGCTGCTGCGACGGGGCCGGGCGGCAAAGCCGGGGGCAGGGCTCCCTAAAATACCTGGGGAGGGCAGGAGTTGCTTCGGCGAGACCCAGGGAGAGCGGGGAGGGAGGGAGAAGAGGGATGAAGGCTGTCGAGGGGACCCTCAAACGCTCCCATTGTCACGGGGTGACGACACGGTCCGTGGGGTACCCAGAAGGATCTTGCCAGGTTTGGCTCTGTCTCTGTTTTCCATTGCTTAAATGGTGCTAAAAAAAGAAGGAAAGGAAAGATTGCTGTTATCCCAAAAGAACCGTGGGAGGGATGGTTCAGGGATGGATCAGCGGGGTGGACGCATATCCTGGGATACCCCGGACACCTTGGGACGGGGACGCGGCCACTGCACTCATCTCCCTCCCGCAGCTCACCATCATATTCAAGAACATGAAGGAATGCATCGACCAGAAGGTCTACCAGGCCGAGCTGGACAACGTCCCGGCGGCCTTCCAGGACGGCTCGGTGAACGGGGGCGCGCGGCCGGGCGGGAGCAGCCTGGCCATCCGCGAGCGGGCGCCGGGGCGGCACGTGGAGATCCGCGCCGCCTACATCGGCACCACCATCGCCGTGCGCCAGGCCGGCCGCCAGCTCTCCTTCTCCATCCGCGCCGCCGAGGAGGTGGCCCGGGCCTTCACGGAGGAGCAGGACCTGCAGCTGTGCGTGGGCGGCTGCCCCCGCAGCCAGCGCCTGTCCCGCAGCCCCCGGGGGCGCGGGCGCGTGCCGGCCGACACGGCGCGGGCGCTGTGCCGGGAGATGCTGCCGGTGGAGGACGTCTACTTCCAGTCGTGCGTCTTCGACGTGGTGACCTCGGGCGACGCCAACTTCACCATGGCGGCCCGCGGCGCGCTGGAGGACGCCCGGCTCTTCCTGCCCGACGCCGAGAAGCTCCACATCTTCCAGGCCGGGGCGAGCTGCCCGCGCATGTCCTCGTCCCCCCTCCTCCTCCTCCTCCTCCTCAGCTCTGCTCTTTGGGTGGTTTTGTTGCACTTTTAACCCCCCCGCCCGCTCCGTGTGGGACCTGGGAGAGCGGCTGGCTCTGGAGCCGTGGCTGCGACCGGGAAAGACGCCTCACCTTGGATCAGGGGTCTCCGCAGCCGAAAGGAATCGGAGACCTGGACCGCGGGAGAGGGGAGAGGTGAACCCCTGGTTTGCACTCACTGCTCTCACGTGGGTGGTGCCAGCTGATCCCAGCTCCTCTCCTGAAGGCAGATCCCAGTTTTTTTTGGTTCGATTCTCACGTGTCCCTTTTTCCCTAAGGATGTGACGTTGCAGCAAAATAAACGCCCAGGGTTAGAAACCCCCTCTGCCCCTCAGAGCCTTCCCATAACTCACTTCCCGTCTTTCTCCTGCTGTTAATCCAGCAGAATTTCGTTCAGGAGCCCTACAAATCCAGAAATAACGGACTCAGAGCCCAAATCCCAGTTTTTAGCAGTTTGGTGGATTTGGGACCCTTCACCCAGAAGCAGAGCAAGGCCATGAGTCGGTTTTGGGAGCATTGTGACCGAGGGGGGGAACCAGTTTTGTCCATCTTCTCCTCTTCCAGGACAAACAGCAGGCTGATCTCCAGCAGTGGGAGCTGTGGAGCCTCAGGCCTCGGATATCCCAGGCCACTGTTGCTATTTTTCCTTGTTGTCTTGGCACCTGTTGCAGACTTGATTTAGCCGGGTCTGGACTTGGGACCAGCATCAGGTTTCAGGGAGGGAAAAAACACCCCTTGGGAATCTCTCTCCCTTGGGCCCAGATTCTCTGCCGCTCCTCAAATCCAACCCAAATTGGGGGTTTCGCTTGGAAAACAGAATTCCTGATGGCAAAGAGCCAGCTGGGCACACGGATGGGCAGGGGAACCCCCCGGGGAAGGTGCAGGACTGCAGAGGGGAGGGCAAATTTCACGTGTTTCAGAGGATTTCAGTAAAGCAGCCGGAGTTCTAAAGGAGAAATGTTTTCTATAGGAAAGACTTCCCTTTATTTTTAACAAAGGACTAAAAACTTGGCCACCCCTGTCCCATGGAGCTGCAGGAAGAGCCTTGCAGCACTCCATGGGGAGAAAATCCTTCATGGGAATAAGATCCTCTGAAGGGAGAAAATCCTCTGGAGCAGGGTTATCTCTCCTGGTAGAGATGGGACTGGCCCCATCCAGGAATATTAAAAGAAAGAATCGATTTTTATACAAAAAAAATAAATGTATAGGTACAAATTTAGATCAAAATCAATGAAATAAATAAAAATCAATTCAGCCCCTTCCAGGGTGTGGAACAGCAGCTTTTTGCCGGCTCAGGCCTCGTGTTTGATTTGATGGGGCAGGACATAATTACCCTTGAGTTGGTGGTCAGTGGAGCCAATCAACAAGAATTCCACAGGGGAAAGGAGGGTTCCCAATGGAACTGGACTCTCCTTCCCCCTGGCAGCCCATGGCCTGCACCACCAGCTCCGGGGCCTGGTGCTTTCCTGGATCTCAGATGGGATCTCTCTCAGGATCCCACCTCTGAAATTTGGAGCCCAGAGCTCCCAGACTGAAAATTCTGAAGAGCTGCCCCTGAACCAGACAGCTCTGGTTGTAGTTTTG